TCGCCACATAATTCTCATTTTGAAAGCACCCTGGGATTTGTGAGTGGACAGGAGTAACCTTTATCAGGCCAACCTTTGCACAGGCTGTCTCTTCCTTCCTTCCTTATTAGATAAGGACATGCACTCTCACTCATGGAGAAGGAATCATAATTGTTTTCCTTCACACAGATACTCTTACAAAGCGTTACAGAAATGACATTAACAGCACGCTGAAATGCAACTGCACGTGGGACTTTTTTATCCTGACAATGAATTAGCACTCTCTGCAGCAGGAAGAAGACAATTTGCCTCCAGGTACTGGTGAAAACCTTTAGGGAACATTTAATAAAACTCTTCAGAGAACCTTGAATGTCTACCTACAGCAGAGAGGATTTCCGTCTCTCTTCATCTGAAAGATTGATCTCTCTAGGTGTCTGCAGACATAGTCTAAAGCCACGCAGACCTCATTTTTCATACCTCAGCAAGTGCTGCACCTTCAAGAAATGTAAAATGATAGTTCCAAAGTCAGCAATTGGTCTCAAACCTCACGCTATGATACCTCCACTCTATCCTTTGCCTTCCACCTGCATTACGTGTCATTTCAAGCTGTGAGTTGTGGAGGATTTGACAATGAGCATCGCTGGCAAGGCTCCCTCCGTCTGCATGGCTGTGGCTGCGTTGGTTGAGATGTTTCACCTGGTCTCCACTGGCTCTCTGAGGTTTTTTCTACCCCCACAAAATTCAGTAAAATGAGGTGTTTGTGGGAAATGGGGGGTTGCCAAAGTAGCAGCTTAGCATAAATTACCAAAATAGCAAATAACACTGCTGACAAAACAGCGTGTCCTGAAAATATGTTCCCTTTATGGGCAGGAGAGTGATTTTATTTATGACAGGAGGATGATTTTTTTTTTCCCCTGGCAGCAGATACTTTGTTTCTTTTTTTTTTTTTACTTACAAAGCAGTTTTCAGCATCACAGGCATTCACTTCACATTACTCAAAAGGGATGCCAGTAGCTTGTCTCTGAAATCTGAAGTAATCAATGCTTTTTAAGTCAGTAGTCTTTTTCCTGGCCCACGGGGAAGCTTTGGCTGCCTCTCACAAATGGCTGCATTTTCAACTCAAACTTCATTTTTCAAACTTAAAAATTTTACCCTCTCTGGTAAGGTCCTCGCCGCTCTAGGCCTGAGAAATGGATGTGAGAAACAATCAAGACTTTTGTGTTTATGTGCCTGAGTCTGTCGGTAAGGTTGCGGTGTGCCTGTGGGATGGGTAAGGCTCTCAGCTTGAGATGTTTTCAGATCTTCCACCTCTGGCTGTCAGTCCAGTAGCTCCACACCACATGAGTAGTTAGAAATAACTGCAGTGAGTTCATGTCTTTGTTCTCTGCAGTGCTTTTTTGCTTCTAAGTCAGGATGAAGCCACCAGAAGCAGGCAGGAGGTGGTGATCACTCGTTAGGAGGTGTGAGACGCAGACTGGCAGTGGCAGTGATGGACACAGCAGCAGACTGCCAGAAAGCTTCGTTGTGTTCATACTGTAAGATCCTCACCTGGAGCTCCTGTGGCCATTGAGAACAGTGTCTGTCACGGTACCTCTGCTGCAGCAACTTCATTTGCTTTTCTCTCGTAAGGCAGGGTTTAGTGGACACCAAGGGCATGGCGTTAGGTTTGAAAGTCTGTAAAACACACTGGATATTGTCCACAATGGTGAAATTCTTCCAATCTGCTGTGGTAGTGTTGCACCACAAAATTCTGTAGCCACATTGTCCTTTCAAATGGACAAATTAACAGTACAGAAAAGAATGGGGTGAAGATTTTAATGCTATTTGTGATGGGGTTGTCCTGATGTAGAACAGTCTGTTGTTAGAAGCTGTGATGTGAGTAGGTTGTATTAAGTAATCTATACATGATTCTCTCTGCTTGTGTGTGAACTACTACAAATGAAGGAATATTTATGTGGACATGTTCTAAGCCTGTTGTTATGGCACTAAGTGGAAGCACAGTCATTCTTGTGTTATCTGAAAAACCCGAACTGTTAATACAGGTTTCCTTTTCCTGGTGTTTTGTTTTGCTATGAGAAGTGTTTGACACATCATTTCTTAATGATGCGTCCCCAGGGCTGTGATGTGCTGATGCTCTAAGGTCCACACTTGCTACTGGTTTACATATGTTAGATTTCTTAATGAGATTTATTAGTCAGTTTCTGGTCCTGCATTAAATGGGATTTGGTTACTTCAGAATCTGCGTTTTCTTGGTGCAGTGGTGGAACAGTTTGCTACTAGTCTTTTATAGGGCATACAGTTACAGAAACATTTTAATTTTACAACAATATAGTCAATTTTTCATTTTTACAACAATTTTAATTTAAAATTGAGAGTTATGCAGTTGCATTAAATCATGAAATCTATATGCAAATTGATTTTAATTGGTAGTTAGAAATTCATATACGTACACACCTTGATAACCATTTTAGATGAAATTTAGTGGGAAATTTTGGGTAACAGTAGTATGGATCTGATGTTTTTTTAAGAAACTGGTGACCTCCCTTTATACATGATAGAGCAGCAGGTCTCAGAAGCTATGTCTTGCTCAAGGAGTGATGTCCTTCATGGAGCACTCCAGCCCTCATCTTCCTGCCATTCCTTCCGAGGGACCTCCAGGCAGACCCGTCACTCCCACACTGTCCAGGCACCCACATTTCCTTCCGTTGAATAGACTCCAAGAGAAATGCCAGGTCTCATCCTAATGTGGAACCAGGATCCAGTCTGACTAAGCACTGGTCCAAAGGGTTCGACAGCATTGATATGGACCAGCTAACACAAGAATCAGTGAGCACAGTAATGTCTGACAAAGCCCTTTTGGTCCTAGAAGCTCCTGGTGCAGGCATGGTGGGGTCAACAACACACTCCTCAGGATGTTGTTCGTGGACACACCAATGGTATTCTCTGTTGTTCAAAGAGTACTCTCCTTCTCTGGGTTTTTATTGGAAAAGACGATGCACAAGGTTAATTTAAAAAAGTTTCCTGAAAAAAGTACTTTGTCAATTTTTCTTACTATTATATGCATTCTGGTCATAGTAAGCAAGAGGAAATGCAGTAATTCTGGATGGAATGAATTACATAGCATAGTTTTGACAGATGAGTTTATTGTCTCACATTGTTTGCTCAGCTATGAAAGTTCTGATAATTGCTGCCATATACATATTTTGAGGTGGTATGGAAAACAAGTAAGATTTTGTTTTTCTCTGAGCTCATTGCCATCCCATTTTAGATTGCTTTATTTGATTATGTAGAAATTGCATTAAAGATAAATCATACACACTTTGGGGCTTTATTTCCATCATACAGTTTTGCTTTGAATAAACCAATGTATTATGGCAAATGTTCTGTATTTCTGGTGGCTTCCATGGTTAAGTGTGTTTTATGGTTGATTTGAAAGATATTTTAATTTGATATTTTAAGACACCAGAGGCTATTTTTTTTAGAATCATTGTGTGAATAAAGGGTTAATACTTTTACTTGTGTTTACATCTAGGGCTTTGTTCTGTTGAAGAGTCCAGTGGGTAGATGTAAAGCTCACGAAGGAATCAAGACAAGGCACTGTACATAAAGCAGAGATAATGCTGTAGAAGTACAGCGTCTCTTGAAGAGCAGCTATGGCCTAGAGTTGAAAATCATTACATGACTTTTTAGCCTCCTTGCCTATATCCCCTTAATGAAAGTAAAATGTAATTTGCTTTCTCTACTGGGCACTTGGCTATCTGTAGTGCTCTTGAGATGTGTCTGTAACTACTCAATGAAATGGTTATTGACAAACCAAGTTAAATCAGCATAAATAGTGATACTGTCACCACTGTATGCCCATCATAACATCTTAAGGGTTGAAAGCTTTCTCCAGGTGGAAGCATCTCTAATCTGTATTATTTCCTAGAATTGTCACAGAATCACAGAATGGTTGGCAGAGACCTCTGAAGGTCATCTGGTCCAGCTCCCCTGCTCAAGCAGGGCCACCTAGAGCAGGTTGCTTGGGACTGTGTTCAGGTGGCTTTTGAATATCTCCAGGGATGGAGATTCCACAGCCTCTCTGGGCAACCTGTGCCAGTCACTCTTACAGTAAAAAAGTGTTTCCTGGTGTTCAGAGGGAGCCTCCTCTGTTTCGGATGTACTCATGTCCTCTGGTCCTGTCACTGGGCACCACTGGAAAGAGCCTGGCTCACCCTTCTTTACACCCTCCTTTCAGATGTTTGTACACATTGATGAGATCCCCCTTAAGCCTTCTCTTCTCCAGGCTGAGCAGTCTCAGCTTTGTCTTTACTCATAGAGATTTTCCAGTTCCTTAATTATTATAGTGACCCTTCCCTGGACTCTCCAGTAGCTACATGTCTTGTGCTTGGAAGCCCAGAACTGGACCCAGCACCTGAGATGTGCCTCACCAGTGCTGAGAAGAGGGGAAGGATCACCTCCCTCATCCTGCTGTCAGTGCTTTGCCTAACAGCCCAGGGTACCACTTGCCTTCTTTGTGCGAGGGCACGTTGCTGGCTCACATTCAACTTGGTGTCCACCAGGACCTCCAGGTCCTTTACTACAAAGCTGCTTTCCAGCCAGTCAGCCCCAGCCGGTGCTGGTGGAGATGGTGGTTCCTCCCCAGGTGCAGGACTTTACATTTGCCTTTGCTGAACTTTGTGGGATTCTGTAGCCCATTTCTCCAGGGGTCCCAATGGATGGCATGACTCTGGCCTATCAACCACTCCTCCCAGCCACTTGCTGTCATTTCTGAAGAGATGTGAGAGCAGGCGCCATCTGATGGTTTCAATTCTCTTCATGATTTAAGTTGTTACAGACAAGAGGATATCTAGGTTGTGGAATTTCTTTGCCAATGTACAAATGAGTTTTGATAATCAGCTGATAGTCTCAGAAGGAGATGGTTTTCCTCTTAAGATAATGTGCTGAAGGACAAGAAAGTTTTCAGCCTGTAGTAACTTCTAATCAATTCTGTGTATTGCTTTTATTTTGTCATCTCTTAGGATGCAGGAAGTCAACAAATAGGCTTTTTGCTTGGAAGCTGTGGAGTTACTGTGGCCTTGACTAGCGACGCATGCCATAAAGGACTGCCTAAAAGCCCCACAGGGGAGATACCACAGTTTAAAGGTAAGCTAACCCACGCTTAGTGTGGACATCATGCGCCATTTACTGCAGTCGCAGTCACTGCGCTTCTGTAGTTGTAGTTGGCGAGGATCAGGCCTGCCATGAAATGCCACAGGAGCAGCCATGGCTGCTGGGACACGACTGCCCCGGCGCTGTGTCACTGCCTGGTGGAGATCCCTGCCCCCCTCTCATGGCTGCTCCTGTGTCATGGCTGCCCTTGCCTCATGGCTGCCCGGCAGTAGGAGCGCTGATCTGGTTCTGCGCTGGCTCAGGCTGCTGAGTTTGTCTGTGGCCGCAGGTGAGATTAAACAAACAGACTTAGGGCTGTAGTAGGTGAGAAGCATTCATACGATTCAGTCCTGTAGTGGTAGGGACAGTAACCTCTGACAGGAGAGTGGTAATAAACTATTTGGGTCAATAACAGCTTAAACTGTCCCACCATTTCTTCAGCGATTGTCTGAGAGGGCCACGACAGCTGTATTAAAAAGATGGTTCTGGAAAATCTTCTTTCCCATCCTATGCTGAGGTTTAAAAGAAGAAATGTTTAGATAATGGTGACAGGCATTTGTGGAAAAGAAAAAAACAAATCTTTGGCAGAGAAGTGTTTTGTCTTGTCTTACCTAGCAGTAACTCAGCAAAACTGACTTTTCTTTGTACCTCAGGCTGGCCAAAGCTGCTGTGGTTTGTCACAGAGTCTAAACACCTCTCCAAGCCGCCTCGTGACTGGTTCCCACACATCAAGGATGCAAACAATGACACAGCTTACATCGAGGTGAGTTAATGAAGATGCGTCTTCTCCTCAAATCATTGCATATGGCACTTCTGGATTAGGTAAACATCATTATTCATTTGCTAGTCACAGAAGCAAAGAACATTCTGTTTTATCCTGTTAATAAGTAATATTTTCTAATAAATTATACTGGATATTGGTTTCAGAAAAGTTAATGAAATATTAAATTGCATTTTGGGAGTTTCTAACATTAATGTTTTTTTGTCACCTGTGTGGCTGCCGCAATATTATATTAAATGTGCCTGACAAGTCTCAGTCTCATTCACAGTGTGGGCTTGCCCACTAGTCTTGAGATGGATAGACGGCAAGTTTCACAGTGAAGCTTCAGTTCTCTTATCACAACCTCCAGACCCTTTGAGAGGAAGAAGTTCTTGTTCCAGTGCTTGCCTGTCACTTACTGCTTTGTGAGTCACGCTCCCCGCAAAAGACCAGCATCAGGAAGGGAAAATTAGTGATGCTTTTAAGTTTCATTTTTCTCTCTTTTTTTCCCCCAGTCTTTTTTTCCTGCTTCAGCATAGACTGAAATGCCTTGAATTCTTCTTAGTGAGGGTGACAGAGCACTGGAACAGGCTGCCCAGAGAGGTTGTGGAGTCTCCTTCTCTGGAGACATTCAAAACCCGCCTGGACGCCTTCCTGTGCAACCTCATCTAGGTGTTCCTGCTCCGGCAGGGGGATTGGACTGGATGATCTTTTGAGGTCCCTTCCAATCCCTAACGTTCTGTGATTCTGTGATTCTGTGTGAATTCAGCATGTTAGTATTGAATTTAAATGATTATTCAAGGGGAATAAGCTTAAGTGAACAAAGCAAAGGTATTTCTTATCTTCACGCAGTCAACACTGGGCTAGAGCAGCAGAGATGCCCCCATTTTCAATCTTGTTGATGTTCTTAATCATGGAGAAAGATAAATGCTTAATTTACTTTAATTGCCACTGATAGTTTTCAGACTTTTGCATAAAGTTGCAAAAATTATTGCAGTCATCAGCAGTGATCTCCTACATCTTTTTTATGCTGCTTTCCATGACTCTTACATATTCTTCTGATCAAAAAGCTTGTGTCTTTCAAACTGTATACATATAGATTATTATAACAGCAGCCAGCAAAGATTCTGTGGTCAGCTGTTATCTCATGCCTTAAGAGACACAGAAGAGGGCAGGTTTATTGATGGGCCTATAAAATCCACCATGTGAACACTGAGCAGACTGAACTAGGTTATTTGCTGCTAAATCTAGCCAGTCCCTCAGTGATTAACATGGTCAAAATTGTTAGAATTATTTTTCCATAATGCCTGCGTTCAAACAGCAGATGGATTTCTGGTATCAAGCCTGGGAAGCTTCAGTCAAAAAGAGAAAGCCTATCAGAAAAAAAGTGTCTTTTAACAAAAAACACCTCCCAAACTCCTCAATACTGCATTGTTCTTAAGAATGGAGCCGTTAGATGTGTCCATCATTCACCTACATAGGAAACACTTCAAACATACCTATTAAATAACGGAATTAGGGCAACTATTGCACATTGACTTTTCTTGCTCATTACTTTTTAGTACAAAACCTGTAAAGATGGAAGTGTGCTTGGGGTGACTGTGACAAGGATTGCACTGCTGACGCACTGCCAGGCTCTGACCCAGGCATGTGGATACACAGAAGGTATGGAGTGCACTTCCCTTGCTTCGTCCTTAAAACCAAGTGAATTGTAATTTGTTTATCATCAGGCTCCTGTCTTATGTTTGATGTAGATCTGTGTCAAAGTCTTCTAGGTTTGAAAACCTGATTTTTTTCCATTGGTTTGAGAGAATATTTACATGTTTAGAATATCTTAGTGAGAGGTACGAATAATACCTTAGCCAAATCGCATTCTGCAGTGGAGACGTCCCATGAAAGTTAAGCTTTCAAGGTCATCAGTCATGTTATACTGAAACTTCCTTCCTTTGAGTGGGTTTGCCTAGGGTCAATGCCATGTTCTAAAAGATAAACTCTGTTTTGTTTTTCTTGGACAGCTGAAACAATTGTGAATGTATTAGATTTCAAGAAGGATGTTGGTTTATGGCATGGGATTCTTACTGTAAGTATGTTTTCTTATTTTATGTGAGTATTTGAAAATAAACTAACCTAATATGCTTATTACTATCACAAACTGGGATGTCCTATAGTTTCTTTTAATACAAATTTTTCTGCTTTGAAAGCAAAAAAATGTGTGGCTTAAGCCCATGATCTTCTGCTAGTGCACTTACCCATAGTGAGGATGGTAAAGAAAGAGGCCAGAGTATTTTTGTGGCTCATGTCCAATATTCTAGCCCCATTCTTACATCTTATTCTGATCTTACTGATGCATGATTTTGAGATCAGACTTCATAACAAAAACAGATTAAATTAGTACTTGCCTCTGTAAGGATATGATCCAATGGAAGTTGAAAGCAAGCATCTAACATAGCTTTTCTATGCCTTCCTTTGCCATTAATCTTGGTATGAACTTCATTTTTTTCATTATTTGCCTGTAAGTGTACTTTTCCTGTACCTACACTTGTGCCGGACTGAAGGGAGAGCTATCTTTGTGGTTCTGCAAGTGTTTAGATGACTGATCCACTGGGACACTTCACCTTTCATAAGACCCAGTTTTCCAAAACAAATTCTGTATTTAATGTGAGCTGCTATGAGTGGAGACATGTTGCTCTCAGAAGATGTTTCTAAATGGTAATAGAAGTAAAGCAACAGCTCATTTACAAGCTGCATGTTTAGTATTATCACTGAGAAATCACCTAAGCAGTTGATTGCTTCAGACTGGGAGATTGGTTTCAGATCTGTCATTGGTTTCACTCAGCTGCTTTTTCTAAACTTCCTGCAATTTTTCATGACCTTGTTGAAAACTCTTTTGTTTATTTTCTGTTAAAATAAACTGATCTCTGCTTAATCTGTGACTATAATTTCTCTGTCTACTGTCTTTTCAATAGTTTGTGCCTCACTACCATAAGAGTTTTTCAGTCTTTGCAGAGGTGGATTTCTTTAGACAGATACGTTGCTGTTACTTGTCCTGTTGAGTAAAGATTCTTCACATATAGTGAAGTTTAGCAGGCTTAGAGATAATATTAACCTACATAGTAACTGTTCATCCAATGTTTTTTTTTAATTTTTTTTCTATTTAAATTGAATTGCTTAGAATATAAATAGGAAGAAAATCTGTTTCTTTTTTTTTTTTAGTTCCACTTCAAAGTTATGATCTGATTAGTCTAAATCCTTAATCCTTAATTAAAGCATTAGAAAATGAAAGCCTGTTTCATCTTAGTGTAGGTATTGGAAAGATAAAACGCCAGCATTAACAGTAAAACAAGCATAGTGTATTGTGCATAGATGCCCTCACCCATAGCACAATATAAATAATTACACTGATTGTTGTACAAAACTGATTTATCTTATTTGATTTCAGAGTGTCATGAACATGATGCATGTTATAAGTATTCCATACTCCTTAATGAAAGTGAATCCACTGTCATGGATACAAAAAGTCTGTCAATACAAAGGTAAGGAACAAGACTATGGAAAAGTATGCTTGATAGTCAAAATCAAAAGTAAAAATTGATAGTACAGCTGTGTAACTTTTGTATGGTATATTAGTAATCTTCCCATTCTTATTGCAGCAAAAGTTGCCTGTGTAAAATCCAGAGACATGCACTGGGCATTGGTGGCACATCGAGACCAGAGAGACATCAACCTTTCCTCACTGCGTATGCTAATAGTGGCTGATGGTGCAAACCCATGTAAGCTATGCTTCTGCAGTCCAGTACAGAATACAAAGCGTTTTCTATCTTGTATTTGAAGTTTCAATCTTCACTCAACTAAAATATTTACAAAGTATAGGGTTTGTCTACTGCAAACTATGTGATATTTATGGGAATAGTAATTCATTTTGGATTTTTGTAAAATATATTTTTCTTTAGCTAATCCTGAAGCAAACTTGATATTCCACATAACGTAAGTTTCGTTTAACATGACAGTGATGTATAAGGGCTGAAGTAAATAACCTTAGGCTATAGAAGGATCAAAACATTTCTTCTGAATGATGGTGCTCAGATGCAGAAGTAACTGACAGTTGTAGGGGAATACTGATACTGCTCTAGAAAACCACATCTGGATCACTTCATGACAGTTAATAGCATGAACTGTTTCTTTACAGTATTTAAGATACCAGTGTGTAGGTGTTCTGCTTGTTTGTAGTAGTTTGCTTTGAGTTTCTGAATTAAATCCTTCATTTCCCTTATCCTAAAAAAGAAAACTGTAATGAAATTCATATTGTAAATCTAGCAGTAATGGCTTTTTTATGTAAGCATTGTGAAAGGAGTTTATGCTGAAAAAGTAGTCTTGGTTCACAGTTCACAACTGTATATCTGTATATAGTTGTAGCAGCTATGACATCTTTCCCAGTGGACATACGTCCTTGTAAATTTTTTCTCCTGAAATGCCTATATATCCAACAGTAAGTTTGCAGTTTGAATAGCCTCACTTCAGAAATCAGATTATTTTTCTCCTCTAATATTTTTTTTTCCTTACCCCAGGGTCTATTTCTTCCTGTGATGCATTTCTCAACGTCTTCCAAAGTAAAGGTCTAAGACAGGAGGTTATTTGTCCCTGCGCTAGCTCACCAGAAGCTCTCACTGTGGCTATTCGAAGGTACTGTGTTACACCAGTGGAATTAGACCCACTGTAGAATGTATGTGGTAATTTGAAAAGAAATGAAAAATTTATTCAAGTATGAATCAGCGTGCTTTAGTTCTGAATGAAATTTTTAGTTTTCACTTTGTTTATGTTCAAAGTTATACAAGAAGAATTTGTAGAGTAATAATTAAACTTCAGAGTCCTTTATAGTCTAGTTCCCATTTCTGTAATTTTATTGAATTTTAAATTATATAGACTGAAATGAAAAAGCTAGTTGTGGAAAAAGAAGTGGAAAAATGCCACTGTAAGCATAAAATTAATTAAAATGTAGGAATTCAGGTGGAATTGCTATCAAGGAAAAACATGATTTAAAGTAGTTTGTTTGAAAAGAATTACAACATTCTGCAGGTTATTTTTGGCTGACTGGCACTTTTTAACCATTCATAGACTCTCAGTAATCATCTGGAAATGCCTTTTAAATCTGGGGAATTTGTGCCTAAAAATAACATTGGTAAATTCTAGTAAAACTATTAAGCATTATGTACATGAATGTCAGTATGCAGGAGTCACCTCTCATGCCTGTCGTCGCACACAGTAAATGGCGTAACTGTTGTCTGGTTTGGCAGAGTTTTCCAAAAGTTGTACCTAGAACAGTAGGCACTTTGTTTCTAAGTTCACATTTCTGCAGCCATTTATAATTGTTCCACATGCTAAAACATGCAGTATAAAAGTGTAAAGCGCTGTAATAGCATTAAGTAAAATACTTCCTGCCAGGAAGTTTAGAATACACTGTCCAAGTGAAATTTTACTAGATTTTCAATTAGCTTTCCAGCGAAACATCACAGGGAGAAAGGCATGAGGCCAAGAGTGTGGTTGACTTCAACCACCTCGTTATTAGCTTAAAATTCTGAAAGCTGTCAGTCCTTCAGTCCATCCTGGACATCTCCTGTCCAGGTCAGTTGTCTTTCTGTGAACCACAGGATCTCGGAGCGCCCTTCACTCAGCTCCACCAGCCTGTTCACAGCTTTATACCAAATAGTATAAAGTTGTTTTTCCTTCGCGATGGGTTTCCCTGCTGTAGGCTGTGCAGACCTGAGCTCCTATGCAATGAGCCCTTTCTTGTGAGTGCAGAGAAGAGGTGGATGAGCAGCGGCCATCACTTGTGCTGAGCACTGATTGATGGGAGAGGCTTTTCATTTCCTGTGCCAGCCCTGGAAAATCTGCCCCAGCTCACAGGTTATGAAGTGGGAGAGCTCACTGTATCTACACAATGTGTGATGGCTGCTGTGCTCTATCCAGACTGAAACTTTATGCTTGTATCCATCTGAAGCTCTAGAGATTAATTTTCAAATTAACTAGCATTGAGAGGTTGCATTAAAAAAATTATTAGCACATAAAATAGCGGATAATTCAAAATTTAAAAAAGGCATTTTTAATGCCTCACTGTGTAATTACAAAGCAGTTCTTACTGCAGTGAATGCTACTGCACACGTATCTCCTTTTTTTGAAGTCTGTTTAACGGTAGGATAATACCAGCTGAACTTGAGAGCTTTAGTATTTTCCATATTGTTCAAGCCATCTCCACTGACAGTAAAGTCATTATCATACAAGTTCCAAAGAGTTACAGCTGAAGTATGCATTAAAATGACTCCCTGCTGAGCACAGATCCAGAGAGCTCCCTGTTAATGCTCTGACTCGTTCAAAACCAATGGTGTTTTTACTGATCTTCCTACAAGGAGGAGTAACAAGACTCGTTCTCAGTTGAAATATCCTTATAGTTTAGAGAAAGACAGTCAGTAATAGACTAACAGGTACTTTAGCCTTAGAGCTGAATCATGAAGCCTAATAGAAATGTCATGCAAATAATTCTTTATGGTATTCCCCTTTGGTTTATTGCATATTAGTCTGAACCCACTTGCTTAAGGGAGTGCAAAAGTTTAAGAGCAGGTCTTTTCCCTTTCAAATGACTTGCAAAAAATAATGATAAAATAGATTGTATCTGTAAATGGTAGTAGCAACTGTTCTCAAAGTGCTCCACGGCTACTCAGTATGAACAAATCAGCTTTGAGGTAGATGTACATGTCCCTCTTTCATGGTTAAGAAAGCTAAAGAGGTAGGTTTGCCTGGTGGTTTAAGCTAAATTTACTTAGTATATGAAGTAGGTTGAATTATACCTTTGCTTGGTTGCTCCTTAATCAAAGGATTTATCTTTGTCTAGCAAGCAGTCTTACAGAATTCCAAATCCAGGATTAGCAATAATGAATGTGTAAAGAAAACTAAAAATGTGAACTTTAAAAGAAATTATAAATACATTGGTATGGGGTTATCTGTATCTCATCTTCTTTCCAAGTGATTTTTCTCCTTCTGCTTGGCAGAGGTACTTGTTTTAGGGTCGTTCTCATGTGGATATCATGCACAGGACAAAATTAGATACCATATATTACAGGATTGTTGCTGACAAGATAGTTTTAAAGAGGATGCACAGGGCTGTCAGCGGCTTAGCTTCCCCCTCACTCCTCTGTCCTGGTCCCCTGGCTGTGTCCCTTTGGGTGTCAGACAGCTGCAAGAGGAGACTCGAGCACCGTTAACTGGTGTCCCATGTGAGGATCCACCTTGGACTACCAGGATACCAGGAGTACTCTGAAATAGCAGCTCTGAAGGGCCTGTCCTGTGGACCCCATGTCCTCGGCACTGTGATGAAAGTCTGGATGGGAGTCTGCTGCTCCCAGAAGTTGTGAGAAGCTGTGTGTACCTGCAGGAGACTTTTCTTCTCATGAGCAGTACAATGTGTGTTTTGGGGAGCGAGGGTGAGAGGAAGTTGATCAATAACGTCGCTAAAACGTCGTTCCCTTTTACATGATGTGAATGTTATTTATCACAGCTGCTTGTTTACTAGCACCATTTGTTATGCTCTAATGCATTTTCAAGCGTGCCCACATCCTTCTTTGTTGACAATGTCACTTGAGAAATATGCCTCATAAAACCTATTAATTGAAATTTATAGTGCCGATCACTGCAAAGCTTACGTGAGCATGATTGGCTATGGCCTGTCTAGTATTTCAAGCACAGTAGAGGAGAAATGTAATATAAAAGGACATTAGCTGTTAAAAAGTAGTTATGTTATGATGGACTGTTTAGGAAAAATGCAGAATCCTGAACTAAATGTTGGCTGGTTTATCCATCTTGAAAATACCTGGAGTCTGGCTACTCTACAGGGATGCATTATCCACACTCAAATCAGCACCATGTTAGCTCCAGTTTTGCATTTTAAAATGCAGGACAGTGTAAGAATCTCTCCAGACATGAGAAGCCCTGACAAGTTCCCCTGACTTAATAACTTGCATACGTCAACCCTCGTTTGCTCAAGCCGCACTCCACATAGGTATAATTGTATCCACTGAGGCAGCAGGCGGGTTTGTATTGAAACAAGTTGACAGACAGCTTGTGCTGATGCTGTGCAATTGTACAGCGTGTCGGCAGTGCATCTGAGCAAACTGAGGCGTTACAAAGAGGCTGCGTGCACAATGTTTTGACCGTGACTGATGACAGCGTAATTTGTTTTAATTTTCATGTGGTAAATTAGAATAGGAGGAATTCAATTATATGCACTAAAATAAAGATGGTAGAGTCCTTGCAGCTTCCACAGGTACTTCGCAGTGAATCTATTGCAACCTAATGTCTTCTGTTTAGTTATTTTAGATGCTTAAGTATTGGGTGTGGGAAGTTGTATCTGTGATTCAAACAGAGCACACTTGTAGTACTTCTAATCTTGGCTTTGGCAGTGTGCTACAGTAGGGCTTTTAGTCTGGCAGGTGAGTTTGGTTTCCTAGTTATAGGTTGCCTGAAAACAGGTAACATATAGAGAGCTTATCAAGGTATTTACCAATCAGTGCCAAATAGAGTGCAGTTTCCCTCCATAATGTCTATACTGCCTTTCAATATTTTTAAAACAAAGTAAAATGCCTTTACTTGGGTAATCAAGCAGTCTTTATAAATCTATCTGAAAATTAAATGCAAGCTGTTTTGGGTAAATGTCAGGTGTTAGTTTCATCTCTGCAGCCTCATATATGTTGGTTGCTACTGAATGGGAGAGCTGACCAACATAATTCCTCAGAAATTACTGAAAACAGGATTCTCTCAGGTCTAATAGGGGAAAAAAGAAGTTGCAATTTTACTCTCGGATACAGGAGTATTTGCAATACTAGTTCATTAAGAGTAAGTAAATACTTACGTCTGCCTGATGGTGCACTGATGTTCTGACCCGTGGTTGCAGGCCAACAGATGACAGCAATCAGCCACCAGGCAGAGGAGTTCTGTCCATGCATGGTCTCACTTATGGAGTGATTCGAGTGGACTCTGAAGAAAAGCTTTCTGTTCTGACTGTCCAGGATGTTGGCTTAGTCATGCCAGGAGGTAAGGAACTCTCATTGAAACTTACTGTGATTCATCAGTTTAAGTAATTAGCTGTAGAAAGTCATAGGCGAGCTTACTTTGCTGTCAGACAACAAGCTTTGGGATTAGGACACGTGTACTTGAAAACATTTTAGTCTAAAAGCATTGCTGTGTAAAACTTTGTGGTTTGGAAATCCCAAGATTTCTTCTCTCTGTTTAGCTTAGTGGCTGTCTTTACTCACATTAGCAGTGTGCTTTAAACAACCTGTCACCACATCAGGACACTCATTCCTTAACTGTGAGATACTGGTACAGAATATAAAAATGTTCAATTCTGATGTCTGGAGGCTATAAATATCCATAAGCTCGACTCAGATGAGAGTCGGTAGTGAATGTTTTCATAACCTGTGCTAAGGATCAACAGAATTGCTATCTGAAGGCCTGCAGAATGTTTTTCCAAAGATCTTGTGCTATCACCCAGTTATTAGAAAAGAAGAGGTGTGACTGAACAGTTCATGTTGATAAATTCAAACTGAAACCAGTGCTTCTGAAGGTGAAGGTGAGATTTTTCATAAAAGAGCTAGATTTTAATGAGATGTACTAGAGACTGGAAAATGAGAACACTGTAGTTTTTCATTGAGAATGTCTGTTATGCACCAAACAAATAAAATGTAATGATGCATTTTATAAAATTTCAGTTTAACAACTTAAAATAAAGGAAGATAAGATTGGTTGTTGTCTCATAGTTATGTAAGTTATTATAATAGGTGTGCCATCTTGCACTTCATACTAAATTCTGGTAGTTTTAATAAAAGTACACATTCCTGTTTATCCTCAAAGTGAGAGAAAGGCCATTCAAGATTCTTTACACTTGCACTTAAGAGAGGTGCTGGTTCATTTCTGCTCTCCCTTGTTCATCATATCCTCTTTCAAACTGCAAAACCTACGCATGCTGGACTCTGACTCCAGGGATTGTGGCTAAAGCAACATACCTGATTCTTATTCACATGGCTGACAAGAAATAGTGCTTCTTCCTCAGACCAGTGCTTTCTAATCCCTCCCGTTTAGCTCCTGCTGTCTCTGCAGTCTTGTGGGACCACTGAGAGGGAGTCTGAGCTCTGATAAATTCTTAGTAAAACAGCCATACTAGTCTGCTAGAATATCTTGATCTTTCATACGGTGTTACTTGCTACTTTGTGAGAGGTCAATTTCCTGGCTGCCTGCCTCCCTGGCAGGGTAGTTATTATCAAGAAGTCCATTAGGCTATTTCATTTTACACTGACTGCGGTAAATCTGGTGTTCAGTATGCAAAACTGGGAACACAATCACATTTCTCAGCAACGTTGCACATCAACCGAAATATTAGAGAGCAAGACAAATGAGGTTTTGATATCAGTATAAAGACTGAGTTTACATAAAGATCTTTGCATTCTTTATATAAACACTATTTATTATATAAAAAACATTGATAATGTTGAACACCTTAATGTTTGAGAAACCAATTGTTAGACACTAATCTACATGTAATTTATTTGTTGATGTTAGCTCTACCACAATGTCCTTCCCACAGAATTTATGTGATTCTGTAGTTCATTTTATAATATTTTTTAAAGTCCTTTGCTCTCCCTCTAGCTATTATGTGTTCGGTGAAGCCAGATGGAATTCCTCAGCTCTGTAAAACAGATGAAATAGGAGAACTTTGTGTATGTGCTATTGCAACGGGTACATCATATTACGGACTCTCGGGCATGACCAAAAATACTTTTGAGGTAAGTTGACCAAAGAATGGTCTATGAAATTGTTCCTTTTTAACTTGTTATATTTCAAGATAAGATTTTGCATAAGATATTTATAGCCATAATATCAGTAATATCAGTAATAATCAATGCCTGCAGCTTGGGACCTGTACATTTCATTCATTGCAGTAGTAGGTCTTTATGTGGGTTTAGTTTTGGCTTCGAAAGACTTTAATTTTGAAAGAAGATACCAGGGTCTGACACAATCAGAAGAAAAGCAGGAGAAAGA